GCTGGCAAAGGGGAAAGGAGAAAAAAAAAAAAAAAAGGGATGTGACCCATCTTCCTGATTTTTCACCGGGGCAAATGGAAGGATTCGTGTCCGGGTGGAAGCCCGGGCACGGTTTCCGCGGAGGCGGCAGGCAGAGCGGGTGGGCTCGGTGCCTGGAACGGGTATTTTGTGCCCGGGACCTGCCCTCCATCGCAGGCGGAAATCGCAGCCGTGCAAACGGTGCCATGCAAAGTGCTCCGAGAGCTGCCGAGTGTGGGGCAGAGCCCTGGGGTGGGGGGTGTGTGTGTGGTTTGGGCAGCCTGAAGAGACCTCCGATGCCGATCTCTTGGAAGTCGGAGCAGGGACGCAGCGCCGGGGCCGTCCCCGGGCTGGGGGTGTCCTCCGGCCATGGCTTGCTCCCTCCCTCCCCCCACGCATGCCTTAAGGCCGGCGTTTATATGCTGCTGGGAGGATGCGATTTCCCGTATCCCCCGTGTCCTGGGCACGTTCCCACTCTGGAAGGGACGAGCATCGTTCCGAGACATAAATGCGCTTAATGCAATGCATTAGCGTTTTTTCTTTCACGCTGGACTCGAGCCCACGATGAGCTCAGAGGTCTCACGTCGAAAACCTCTCCTCGAGGCACGCTGAGGAAACGAAGAGCGGGCGCTAATATCCCAACAGCGAGTCCTTCTCGGGCCCCTGGGAGAACCGTCCCTGCTTTTCCTTCGGAAATGATCCCAACACCGCTCATCCCTTAGCATCTGCCCCTATTTCTGGAAGAATGACCCCCCCAGCGGGGTTTTGAATGTTGCCAGTGCTGCATTACAGCCGTGCTGGGCTCTTTCACTTCTCGCCATCTCCTGATTTCTATCATTTTCTCTCTCTTCCCCGCCTGGTCCTTGCCATCGTCTCTTGTCCTGGACGGGTCTTGGGGCAGGGGGTGGTGTCGGGATGGCTGCGCTGGGCTGGATGCGGTGGCTTTTGCCCCCTGGGAAGATGCTGCTCTATATCCACCGGAGGTAATTCCCTCCCACCGGATTCCATCCCTCCTTCCGTATACATCCCAGCTCCTCAGCACCCAGGACCGTCCCTCGGCCCCCCAAACTCCCCTGCTGATGGCTGCAGGCGGAGCGGGGACCCCCGTGTCGCTGTGGGGCACAGAAGCTGGGATCTGTCCCCTCTCCCACCATCCCAGCTCAGCACCCACACTGGGGGCCGGGAATCGTCGCTGCTCCTCGTGCACACGAAGAAGGGCGGCGGGAGTTTGCTCGGGAAGGGAAAGGGTCAGGAAAAAGCTGGGTGGGATCTGGTGCTGCTGGATTTGGGGTTCATGGCCATGCCTGGCGTAGTTCCCCGAGAGCCCCGCAGGCATCACAGGGGGTTTGCAATGACCCGTCTCCCTCCTGGGGTGTCTCTTGGTTGCAGGGTGGAAAATAGAAGTTCCCGTCCCCACCGCCCCACGGGTGCTGCTGCCTCGCCGGCTGCGGCACCACCGCGGGGAGAGGGTGCTGCCGTGACGGGGACATGGTGGCATGAGCTCCCCCCACCCCTCGGTCATCTCACGGTGCTGCCGCAGCGCCGGGTTTCAGCTGGCTCCTGTGCTCCCCTCCCTGCCACGAGCCGAGTTCTGTCCGTTCTCTGCTGCTGTCTCCTGACAGGGACAGAGAGGGACACGCAGTGCGGGATGCGCAGTGAGGGGGGGGATGCGACGGGAATCAAAGCCAGGGGCTGTGGCGGTGCAGAGATGCTCTGGGAAGCTCTGCCCTTCTCTCATAAAAGTCCTTTATTAGAACAGCAAACATGACACTTCTCTTCAGTACAGCGGCTGTATGCAGCTATCATCGCGGTACAGGGGGACGACGTCTTACAATCACTGGGAGTCTAATAAGCACCATGAACATCCTAAAGAACGGGGGATAACGGCTGAGAGAGGAGCCCCGGGTGAGCCGGCCACGGGGGCTCCTCAGGAATTCACCAAAGAGCTGCTCGGCGTTGTCCCGCAACACGGCTCTCCTGCAGCTGAGAGAAACTCCTCGGTGTAAGTCAACAAGATAGCACCCATCCAATAAATTAGGTAAAACTTAATACTAGAGCAACAAGGGAACGAATGGACCGTCCTAGAGGAGGGCACGCTGGAAGGGAACGGTCTATTTACACGCGTCTTTCTGCTGGACCGGTACTCCCGTAGCTCCCCCTGACCCCGGTTGGATGAGCTGCAGCTCTCCGGCCAGGCTGGCGCCCACCCGGCAGCGACACCGCCGTCTCCCCGAGCCCCGCCAGCCGTGCCAGGGGACGGCGAGGGACCCAAAAGCGAAGCGTGGGGACATGCGCATGCAGGCGCCCTCGGCACGGGAACTGGGGGGGGGAAGTGGGGGCTGACACCGGGCACGGCACCCACAACCTCCCGCTCCCCTCCTGCCTCTGAATTACCAGAAAGTCGGGGGAGGGAGCGGAGGCTGAGGGAGACCGCTGCCGGCAGCAGGGCAGCGGGCACGTATTCCTGAGTGCGTGGCAGGGCTGTGGCCAGCTCTTCTTCCTCCCCATCCCTATCCCTATCCCCATCCCCATCCCCATCCCCATCCCCATCTCCATCCCCATCCCCATCTCCATCCCTATCCCCATCTCCATCCCTATCCCCATCCCCAACCCCGGGCTCCCCGTCAGACCCTTGCTGCAGAATGAATTCTCCTGTGAACGGAAGGACACTATCAGGTAGTATTTAAGGCTAGGCTTTATACGGCAACTATAAAAAAATAAATGCTAATCTCCGAGGAGCCGGGCGAGGGCTCTCTGGCGTATGGCTGTGGCGCACGTGCCGGCGCCGGGCTGCGGGGAGGAGGGGGAGAGCACTGCGTGGGTGCCCCCTGGCCCCACCGCTGCGCCCCATGGAAATGTCTCATGGGGACAAGGGACAGGGCCGGGCATTTTGGTAAGGACGTGGAGACTGACTGGTAATCCAGGACCCACCTCTACACGTGACCGAGGGCACTCTGCAAGAAAGGCCACGGGGAAAAGAAATAACCTGCAAAGTAACGGGGCTGGTGCGGGCGAAAGCTTTCCCGTGGTGGAGGGTCCCTCCTCTCTCCCCTCCGGTCAGTCCCACGGGAGGGGAAAGCGCTCTGCCAAATGAGATGAAACTGCCCCCCCCCTCCTCCCACCCCCAAACCCCAACTCAAATCGATAAAACCAAACCTAAAAGCGGACACAGAGGAACATCTCAGGCTACCAAGGTACTTCATCAGCCAAAAAGAGCTAAACAGCGAAGCGCACACACACAGGACAGCGCGGGAGGGTGGAGATCAGAGACGGCCAAAAGCCAGGTTCTTCCTTCCCGTTTTGCCTCCCCGTCTCCGGCTGGTGGCCGAGCAGGGACCCGGCGGCTCGGCAGCCGGCCTTGTCCCGTGGGAGGGAACGGGCTGGCTCCTCTCTTCCCGAGAAGACGCAGCCGGCTCCAGCAGCATCCTCACGGCATGGCTGAGCGTGAAGCGTAGAATTCGGGGACCGGCAGGCCGGTGTGCAGCGTCACCTGCAATAAGAGATAAAGGGCTCAGCCGCATCCCTCCGCGCCTGGTGGGACAGCCTACGGCACAGCAGCCGGCACAGCAGCAGCCCAAAACACCACGGGGAGCCCATCGCTCTTCCTGCCCTGCCACATGCATCCTCCGGGCTGCTGCGGGGCCTGGGAGGGCTGGGAAAGGCTGTCCCCAAGACCACGGTGGTGGCTTCATCTCGCTGCTTCACGACTTGTTTGCACCGCAGGAACCCCTACGCGACTCCAGCGTGAAGTGGGACTGCTGGTACCGGTGGTATCCAGCCACAAATATTCCCAGCCGGCTGCGGAGAGGTGCGACTCAGCAGCAGTTGTGTCTTTCTGCAGATGGGATGGAGAAAAGGGTACAGAGAGGGCTGAAGGACAATGATGCCACTCAATACAGAAGGAGACCTCTGAGAAGCCCCTGAGCTGAGCACGGGCTGTACAGTGGAGGGGACGTGGCTGAGCACCGGTGGGAGGAAGGACCTTCACGGCAGGGAAGCTGAGCAGCAGCAGGGTGCTGGGGCAGGACCATGCTACGGCGCTGGGGGGATGCTCAAGTGCAACCTTTAATGCTCCCTTCCAACCCAAACCATTCTGTGATTCCATGAAAACGGGAGCTAGGCACTGGGCCCGGCATCGCCTGGGGATGGGAGCGATGCGGCAGAGACTCCACCACAGGGACAAAGAGACCTGATGCTCACTGTGTGTAGGAAAACCCCGACAGGAAGGGATACGGGCGGAATCCGCTTGTATCGACTGACCGGGCAAGGGGCCGGGTCCTGCAGGGACCCACACACGTGCTGAGGAGCTGCGCACGGGGAATTCAGTTCCTTCTACAAATACTTTAATTTGGGAGGGAAGCACAATTCCTTCTTTTATTGGACCAGCGGCATTTTCCCCGTCAGATACAGACTTACAGAAAACTTTGTCTGAAATACAATTATTCCCCTCCTAATTTGAATCATTTTTAATTACTCGTACACCTTTGAAGAAGGATAATGAACGGCTTGGGTTTATTAGCAGCCTTTTATCAGCATCCCATGGGACTTCTCTGTTGTTAGGGGATTTAAGCTCTGCCTTGCCCAGTGAACTGTCAGAAAGCAGAGGGGCTCCAGAAACGCACTCATCTTTCGGGGCTGCGTAGAGGACTGTGGTAGGAATTAAACCCATCACCGAACAGGATGTTTTCACCACACCAAATTAATACAGCAACCCCTAAAAACAGTGCAGACGAGATGGGCTTCTTCAATGTTTCCTAATTAAACACCGGGAAACTCTAGCAGGGATGCTCCCAGGGTTTGGGATGGTCCCGACCAACCTCTGCTCCAGTGCTGCTGGAAAACCGTCACTGCCTCGGTACCGGCGCACAGTACACCCTGTACGCCGATGGACAACAGAGCAAAGCACCTCCTAATTTGGGAGTAACGGGCACAAACTTGAACACAGGAAGTTCCCTCTTAACATGAGGAGGACCTCCTCTCCTGTGAGGGTGGCAGAGCAGTGGCACAGGCTCCCCAGAGAGGTGGGGGAGTCTCCCCCTCTGGAGCCATTCCAAACCCGCCTGGACGCCGTCCTGTGCCACTGCTGGAGGTGCCCCTGCTCTGGCAGGGGGTGGGACTAGATGATCTCCAGAGGTCCCTTCCAACCCTGACCACTCTGTGATTCTGTAATTCATGGATCTCTAATTTACAGAAGCCACTTGGTGCCTCCGTCCTTGCACAGAGGTGATGCCTTTGACATCCACTGCAGAAGACCGTGTCAAAATGCTCCACACCCTGAAGTCATCCGTTATGTGCAACGTGTCCTAGGATGTGCCCGGGCACTTGTGCAGTGCTGGAGGTGCAAGCAGTGGCAGAGTGGATGTGCCAAAGCCAGGTTCGGTGAACACGGGGGACTCGGTGGGGGAGAGGACAGCAGGGATGAGATCAGTGAGAAGAAAAATGAAAGATGGAAATACCGGATAGGCGCAGGGACCCACCACTTGGTGATGTTCAGGAGAGCTGAGAGCTTGGGAGAGAGGGAGAGAAAAGGGATTTGAAGTTCCCCAGAGGAAAATAGGCTTTAAAAGGTGTCCTTCTACTTGGTAATGCTCCTATCTGGGTCCTGGGAGAGCTGTAAGAGCTGGTGAGGCTCTTGTGGGGTAGTATCATGAAGCGGAGCTGTCAAACCCCGTCAACCAGGGAGGGCTGGAGAACCCTGGTGCTTCATGAGCCCTGATGGAGAAACCTGGAGCGGGGAGCTGGAGGCAGCAGCTGTGGCTGCAGGAAGGCCTGTCCCGGTTTTAGACACTCACAGGTGGTTTCGGGTGTACGTTTAACTCTTTCCAAGCCACCCCTGTTGCACAAGGGCCCTCCCTGCCCCACCAAGTCCCCGTGCTGCTGAGCATCAGCGCACACTGCAGTGACAGCAGCATTAGCGGGAGCCTTCCAGCAAGCTCAACCGCAGGGTGTGCTGCCGTGGTATTCCGGAGCACGGTCAAAGCATGTACCTGCACGTTCCTGTTGAGGCTGACCGCGGGGAAGAAGAGGCCTTCCAGGTTCTCAAAGGCGACAGGCCCTTGCTGGTCCTCGTTGATGGAGAATGTCAAGGTTCTCCTGGTCAAATCCAGCAGCACTCCCACTGTGGCGCCTTTCGTTATCCCACCCTCGGTTCTGCGGGGGTGAGAAGAAGATCAGAACATCTCTGTGGCTTAACGTCCCTTGCGCTCCCAGCTCAGGGTTCAGTCCACAGACCTCAAAGGCTGATGATGGAGAACTTCACAGCTCACCCAGGAGCCAGGCCATGACCTGCACCCATCCCAGCCACGCTCACAAGTCCCTGGGCACCTCCTCCTCAACTCAAGCCTCCTGCGGAAGTGCTCTCCACTTTCTGAGATGTCCCTGAGGGCAAAGCTATCTACCAGAGCAGCCACAGCAACACAACCACAGGGGAAAGCAAGTGGACCTGGGCAGCAAAGCCGCAGGCCCCACTTCAAAACCTGCTGACCCATCAGGGAAAGGTCCTCGAGGCTGCAGGAAGGTGACACCAGGCTCTCCTCAAGCTACCGCAAAGCTTCAAAGCCGCCAGCCCCACTGTCCCACGGGGAAAGCGAGGAATAGCTGTGGCATGGGGACAAAGGTGAAGGCTATTTTCTCGTTGCACGAGTTGCAAGGCCTCGGGTGTTAATGGGAAGAGGGTGCTGCTACGCAGGAGCGGTGCCGTGCATGCTCGGGGGAAGAGTCAGCACGGAAAGGGTCGCAGCGGGCAGGGAAGGAAGACTGGAGCGAGGTAGAATCAGGGAGGCAGGGACTGTCCCTCCTTTCGGGTGAGGGCGCATCCTCGAACAGAGGGGATTAGGAGCGATGTCACCCTTCCCGTGGGCGTCTGTAGGTGCCACTGGAAAAGCCACGGGCTCTTCCTTGGGCTGTGGTCTCTGGGAAGAAGACCCCGTTGCAGACCACGTACCTGTTGGTGTGTGAATTGTTGTGCATGAACCAGCTCCGGTTATTGTCCACGTACATGGCCCAGGCCTTGTCGTCCTTGCCCAGCATGGCATCCTTCAGGACATCAATGCGTGCCACGCCAAAGGCCGGGTCAGGGTGGTTATCGTAACGATCGATTGACAGCTCCCAGTAATGGAGCCCTTTGGAAAAGCCCGTTTTCCCCAGCACAACCCTGTCATCATAGCTGTTGCAGGTGACAGTCAGGTTGTCATTAGAAAAGATGATGTCAGCGTGGGCAGAGGCAGGATCGAAAGAAAACCAAGCAACTGGAACACACAAACAACATCAGGTTAGTCCGGCGGCAGCCCGGCCGTCGGTGACCGAGCCACGCGGAGCGGACACGCAACAGCGCATGCGGCATGCAGGGCCGACACGGAAGGCGACGGCACGGCGGGGGCTCGGGCTGCGGCCCACCGGAGGCGGTGGGGAGGAGCAGGCAGGGAGCCGCAGAGCGGAGGGGGCTGCTGGCCAACGGAGGGCACCTTCCGTCATGGAGGGATGCTTTGAGCTCGTGCAGCTGCAGCCTGCCAGCGTGGCTGGGGTTTTACGGCCGGGACCCAGAGGAGTTTTGCTCTTGCTGCTCGCCGGTCTGTCTCCGTCCCCCTCCCGCTGTCTGTCTGTCTCAGCTCGTGAGCCCGCAGGATCCTGGCGATCTCCTGAAATTTGGCCCTAGCTGAAGGAGACGTGGGATCCCGGGCAGGTCTCCGGGCTGTAGCTAACACAACTCACTCTGACCGCTAAGGGTGACTCATGCAAGCAACAGGTCGCGGGGTCAGGCCCAGCGCGGGAAGGGGACTGAGGATTAGCAGAGAAGCTGTGCGTGTGTGTATTTGAGGGCTGGCAGTCCTGGGAACCAAAAGCACATACAGAGGTCTACACCGACAGAGACACTACATCACACCGAGAAACCTCCCTGCGGAGCAACCGGCCACACGTAAGACAAGAGCTAGCTCATGGGAAGGCTGGAAAACGCCCCAAAAGCTCCACGACTCGGTACGGCCGCTGGTTTAAATGCACGGGACTCGGTTACTGCAAATCTGACAGATACAGTGTCACGTCCTCGACAAGACACAGGCACGGGGTTTCACAAGCCACCAGCCCGGTTCCCCAGGTGGTTTTCTCCAGCGGTCACTGAAACGTGAACTGACACATCCACAAAACACTCCCGCGCCTGCAGGAGTAAATACGGCTTGAAAAATAAAACACTCCGGTGAGATTTATTCATTGATTTATTGGATCGTTTCACAAGACAGCTCACATGCACGCGGGTGCCCCGGTTTTGCAACTTGATGGAGGTGATTCCGTACCTGCCACCATTTTTTTAATGTCAACTGTGGTCATTCCCAAGGAAAGGCATGCAGGAAAGAAAACAGCATGTCAAGTTGGGTTGAGAAAGGAAGGAGAAACAATCTCTGCTTGCCTGCTTCTCCAGCGAGCGCACGGACCTTTCAGCGTTTGGCATAACGGTGGGGAGAGACGGAGCGAGGATGGGCTCGGGATGCTGAGGAGGGAATCTCGCTGGGCTGAGCAGGGGGCTCCTTCTCCCACGGGGGATGAACGACCTCGCAGGTGGTCTGCATGGCGCAGGCAAGCAGCTACCACCAGCGTTCGCTCCAATTAGCTGCAGAGGGGCTAATCACCTCCTCGGCATTTGGCCCACGTTCAAGCTCCCTTCATGAACTGGGATCCGTATTGCTTTGAGCGGGAGGATCAGTTCTTAACTACAGGGCCGCTTCCAGAGCACTGACTTCAGGTTTCTCTTTTAAACCACATGGGGGAAAACTTAAAAAAACTTTACATCATGGCAATCACCATTCCTCCCCCAAATTTCCCTCCTGCCGTGACATCCAAAGGCGCCCTGCAAGCATGGTATGCGCAAGAAGCGCTCCTCACTCACCAAAGAAAAGTTAAAGATTTAAAAAAAAAAAAAAAAAAGGATGAACAACATAGAGTAGGTGCCAGTTAATTGTAATAAATATACTTGCCTAATTGAGAGTAAGGCGTTCCTTGTGTCTCAAAATTGCATCCTATAAAGAGATACTACATTTCACACATCACAGCTAAGAAACAACAACCGCCTGAAAAACACTCCTGAGCATTTAACCTTTAACTAAGCATCCAGCCAGCCACGGGAGGCCTGATTCATTAAAAGCCAGAGAGCACGGAGAGGGGTTGCAAATATGACCCGTGAGTTTGACTGTTGGCCGTTTTGGTGTGTCTCACCCTTTGGGACTTGCGGATTATCCACTCTTTCATGGCCAGATCCCATCACAGCCTTCAAGAGCATCAAGTCTGAGCGCTACCTGCTCGGGATGCCAAATCATTGGAATTTCCTCCAGAAAAGGGACAGGAAATTTTAGTCTGGGCAGAATATCTTGGCTGCTTGGTAAGTATTCTCTAGATTGACACTCAGTTGAATCACTTAAAAAACCACTCCACTCCTTGGAGGACAGGGACTGAGGAAAGAATTATAGAATCATAGAATGCTTTAGGTTGGAAGGGACCTTGAAGATCATCGAGTTCCAAACCCCCTGCCACAGGCAGAAGAGCAGCCACTGGTGCGTCCAGTGAATAGGGACCACCGAGCTCTCCCGGGCTGTGCAGTCTGGGCAGAAGCAGAGCAGAGGAGGGGGTCCCTGGGGACAGACGCCTGGTCTCAGACCCCGGCTAGCACCCAAAGGACACCAGGGGTCCTTTAGCTTCGACCGCGGTTGCGTGGGCAGGACGCATCGGGGTGCCCTTCATCCTCCTGCAACTGGGCTGTGCCCGACCGCTGCCTGCAAACACCTCCTGGGAGCTGGACCGCAGCCGGGGACTAATCCAGGAGCTTGTCCTGGTCCAGGAACTTGTCCTTGCCAGGAGAGGGTTGGCACTACACAGGGGGGCATTCGTGAAAGGGTGCTGTATTTTAAGGAAACCCCTGTCTAGGTCCGTGACTGGTTTTCACCTCTCCTCTGGTGAGGAAGCAGGTTTTACACCCTGCTGAGGTGCGTGGTGGTGGGAAAGCATCTGGCCGCAGTCGCGCTCCACGGCGAGTGCCAAGCAGCACCTCCCGAGGCTGTTTTAATGAATCGCGCCCCGTGCCCCTACTCAAAAAGTGATTTTGAAGGGCTCTGTGCATCACTACGATACAAGTTCACCTGAGTGCGAAACAGCACGGACACACGGGCACATTCCGGACCCCGTTTTGCGTTGCCCCACCACCCCAGACCGCGGCTGCGGAGGTCCGTACTGCACACACAAGTATTGCTCACGGTCACCGCGGTGGATCTCGGTACACTGGACACAAAGTAAGAAAACATCCGTAACAGAACAGAGTTCAAGCCATTAGCGCACAGCAGTACGATGAGAAAAAAAACATAAAAAGCACAAAGAAAAGAAAGTTGCGGGGCCCCCGGTTATTCTGGCAAGGGTCATGCTGCAGCATTCCTCATTCCGGGTTATGGGATGGAAATCAAACAATCGGGGGCCCCCATTCTTCCTGGGCTTACACCAGAGGAAGCCGTGAATTACTCCATTGGAGCCCATGGAGTGGTGTAAATCCAGAGTGGCGGAAGAATCAGGGCCCAGGATCTTTAGCAACGGGAGATGTGCAAAGACTGGTTAGAAAACAGCTCTGAGAGATGCACTGTGCCTGCGGCTCCTTCGCTGGCTGCCCGACACCGTCACTCAATTCTGCCTGTACTGCCTACGTCCCACCACAGCCCCCGAGGACCGGGCGCCAGGAGGCAAGCAAAGCGCTTGTGGGTGCTGCCGGACGAGCGAGGTATCACGGGAGTGGTTTCCTCTGCTCTGCAGAAAACGAGACTTCGATAGGATCGCGTCTGGTTTTGCAAAAGGCGAGCCCAGCGCTTGAAGCTGAGCGGACGAGAGCCCACACCTTCAGGGTCTCAGGAAGCCAGACTGCGAGGGGTCGCTGAGCCGGCCGTAGCAGACCTTGCTTGCATCTAGACTTGCTTCTTTCTTAAGCGGGGTCTAGATTTAATCAAGCAAATTAATTTCACAGAACAAATCTCACAGCAGAGGCTGCGTTTTCTGGCTGTATAGGGAAAGCAAACCATCAAGATGTCCCCACAGGTTTCTCCCTGTTCTTCTGACTGTCCCTAGACACAAGATCAACACAAACTAGAGATGAGGGATCAGCTCTGTGGGCTGGCTGGGCAAAATGGTTCAGCCACGCCGGCCCGGGTGGGAACAGCACCCACGTAAGGAGTTACTGTGCTGCTCCGTCACCCCACGCCTGGAACTGCCCATGCTGGTACGTAGAGATGAACACACCACGAGACCTACGCCACCGAAAGTCCCTCCGCGGCAGGAGCAGGCCACTGACAAACAGAAGGAGTTCCCCCTGCCATCCGCATGTCATGGGAAAAACAAACACAACGGAACAAAACAAACAAATACTTTGAAGATGCCCAGAAGCACAGACGAAGAGGAAATGCCAGAGGCACTCGGCTCACCAGCTGAATTCAGGGACTGTAAAGAAGAATGCAAGCTCAGCTGGTGGGCCGAAGATCTTAGCTCAAAGTAGGATCTCCCCGGAAAGCTGGGTTGTAGATTAAGGGTGGAGGAGAAAGGACTCATTCTACGAAGCTGCGATCTTTCCAAAGGCACTGGAAAAGGGAGGGTCTGTTCTTCTGACTGCGTGTCTAAATGTAAGATCAACGCAAACTAGAGATCAGAAATGGGGTCTGCAGGACGGTGTCGCTCCATCGCCCGAAACCGGAGCTCGGACCAGAGCACAGACGTTTCGGCACGCACGGACCCTGCTTCGCTGCAGCGAGCGTGCGGACGGTGCGTGGAGCAGAAATGTCTGGTGCTGCGCAACCCAGGCAGACCCTTCAGGAAAGCCTTGCCTCGGACAGTATCGGCAATAAACACATTGTCATCTTCCAAAACGTTCCCATGTCACCATGACAAATTCGATACGCTTTTCTTTAAAGGGAGTCCTGCACCTCTTCACAGTAATGCACCTAAAAAAATTCACAAGTTACCATGCACACTTCCCATCGTTCTTTAATAAATCTCATACCTTTTTTGTGCACAATAATCAGTGGCGTAAAAGCTGGTTGGTTGGTAACACTGAAAGGCATTTTGCAGGGCTGTACTAAGCTCTATTACCCTAAGTACCACCAAGCACCCACCTTACTCAAAGGTTGTTCGGGATGTTGTGTTCTTGGTATCCCTTTGTACCTGTCAAAACACATCTGAGCCTTACAGTAAGAATTTAACTCATGTGATTCACAGCAAAATGTCAGAGTAGAGGGAACCTCTCGGGTCACCAGTCATCGGTTGCCATTCCCTGCTACCACTAATGGTCACCTCCTGCAATTTCTTTCCTAGCCTTGTCAAGGGGTATGGTAACATCAAAGTGTAGAATCCACCATCCTCCACACATTCAAATCAGACAAACTCCCAAACGCTGTATCCCCAGCCTCAATAGGCATTGAGCTGGAAATCACGGTACAATCAGACAAACTCCCGAACGCTGTATCCCCAGCCTCAGCTGGGAATAGGCATTGAGCTGGAAATCACGGTAAACCAGATAAAAGGAAGCATTTCTTTGCACAGCGGATTGTAACTTCTGCAACTTGCGGCTGCGCGAGGCTGTGGAAGCAGAGCGTCAGTGGGTTCACGTATGGGTTAGATAAATTATTGCACAACAGGTCAATAAATGGAGCACAAGGTTAGCGAAGGACATGCCCTCCAACATCTACAAGAGTGAGAGGAACTACTACCAAGAAGAGCCGGGTTCATGGCTCTCCCTAACTAGCATCTCATGTTCCTACAGCTCCTTGCAGCGTGTCTCCCCTTGTTCACCCCTTCCCAAAAACCGCTGGTTAAAAAGCCCTGGTTGGTGCTGAGGGTCAATCCGTGGCTGGTAAGGAACTTAAAAGTTGCGCCCCAGATGAGGAACTGGGCTTGAAAGAGCAGTAAAGCTTTGCCTAGGCTGGGGACGGGCTCTCAGGCTGTGGTGCCCAAGTCCCTCCACCACATCCCCATGGGGGCAGAGGTGGCCGGGAGCGGCTGCTCATGGTGTTGGCAGAACTGGCCGAGTTTGGAAACCTGGGAGAGGGGGGAGCAGGGCACAGAGTGTGACAAGCCAGGTTTTCCTCCCCGATCTCCTGCTCCTAGGCTTGTGTCTCACCAAAGAAACAAGAAGCCAAAACCAAACTTGCCTTGAAACTCTGCAGCCGTGCCTAAAGCTGGAGACTCAGCAGCCGAGAGAAGGGGGAGCGGAGACACGGCTCTCCCCCCAGGCAGGGCTGCGGCAGCATGGGCCACATGTGCCCAGGAGAGCGTGGCTGAAGGCACGAAGCAGCCCAATGGAAGAGTCAAGGTGTGGACAGTCAAAGAGAGCTGGGTAAGGGTGAGAATGGAGCAGCAGGTTTTGGCAGGAGGAAGATAGAACCTCTGCACCAGCCTGAGGAGCAGGCAAGGACAGTCCCCTCCAGCGCTGCTGAGCTCCTCTTCTCCATCTCCACCTGGGGTGAGCTGGTCCTTCATGCCACCATCCAGCTTGCTGGACAGTCCACGGAAAGAAACAACACTGGAGGCACTCAGAAGCCATCTCAGAAATCCTTGTAGAGAAAAGCAGCCCATCAGCCAGCCCACCTGCAGACTCCAATCCCACTGTAACTGGGAAGTCTCCTCCTCTGTTCCTTGCCACCGTGCACTAAGTGCCTGTTCCTGGGAGTGGCTCTTTGCATCCCACCATGACCAGCAGACCAGAGCCAGGGGTTTCTGCAAAGCCTCTCAGAGGCTGCTCTTGCCGCAGCCGTGAATGCACCAAGGAACCACCAGCTGTGGGTACGGTGAAAATGGGAACATGCCGGGAGAAAAACCGACTGGATCCTAAAGTCAGCAGGAGACTGGCCAGAGGCTGGAAAATCTGCTGGATGAGGAAAGACCAAGAGATCTGGGGTTGCCCAGCCCAGGGAGGAGGAGAAGGCTGGTGGGAGACCCGAGGTCTCCCAGGGGTGAGGACAGCTGAGCAGTGCTGCCACCAGCCAAGCTTTGTAAGCTGCCTGTGCCATGGGACAGGGTCACCTTGCAAACTTTCTTCCAGACCGATTTCCAAGCCTACAGCTGAACTTCATTCAGGTGCTAAAGAAACAGAGAGGTTAAGCCAGGCCACACATCGCAGCGCTTTGGAGCCTGCAGTGACGGTCCTGGGAGGCACTGGCTAAGCCATGACAGGGCAAGGGATACTCCTAGGTCAAACAGCCTGACGTCAGCTAGGGGGAGGACACAGTTCAAGGTAAGGACCATTGCCTTCAGCCGTTGCTGCCATTTGACTGTGCTGCTGCTGCTGATCTTCACCCCTGGGAAGCCCCAGAGGGCCCAGCACATGGGAAGGACTCGGGCACAGACCTTCTCCCAGCCAGGAGCCACCTTGCCCTGCTGGTGACACCAAGCACCAGCTTTAAAGAGTGAACTGCAATTTCCTCGGCTGGAAAACGTAGTTTCCTTTGGGATGAGCAGGAGAGGATGTGCCGCACCACGGGCTGGGAAGGTGCTCTCCAGCTTGCTGTAGGCTTGCGTGTGTGCCGACTTCCCGTGGGACATTCCCATCAGTGCTGGCTGGCTTGTCTTGGCCGTGCAGGAGCAGAGAGGCATGCCTGCAGAGGCCCAGACACAATTTTACCCACTTCTCATCCTTCAGCTGCCGAGACCCTGCAAGATGTTTCATTCCCTGCTAACCTCTGCAGCCCGTATCACTGCTCGCCGAAGGGAAAAGAAAGACTCCAGTTAACTTCCACAGCCCGTGGATAAGGATCTCGTGTGCTCGGACTAGAAAGCAGCTTTTTAAATAACATCCTCTGAGATGTTTAAATAACATCCTATGAGAATTTCTCATAACCACTTACAGCGGGACAGCTGTGCTCAGAGATGTTCTCTTCATATCGAGCCCATCTCTTCTTTTGTCCCCTCTTCCCGCACGAACACTTTGCAGCAAGCTGCAGAGCATGGCTGAAGGGGAAAGCTAAGCCTACTTCAGACAAAATAGCACTTAAAGGCCTGATGCTGCTGTAAAGGCCCGAAATAAAAGCCTAACCAGGAGCCGTGATGTGTGAGGAGGCTCTATTCAACAAGTCAGTTCAATATCCGGAACCTGCACAGAGATGTGATTTATTTCACTTGGAGTCCAAAAAGCTCAGACGGCCTCTAAGAGCAGAAAATGCTCCGGGCCCATTTGACTTTTTCTCTTTCTTTCTTTCCTGCTGGAATACCAAACGCGAAAGACCACTGAGTGAAAAAGCTGAACGTGGCAAACTTTCATCCGATGCTCAGAAGAGTGAAACCTCTGTTTACTGGCACAGACCGAGGCACAGCCTGACCTGCTGGGACCATGAAGAGCTATTTTCTCCCAGGTTCCTTCATATTTTGGAGCTGCGCGATAGGGGAGCTTGGCTCAACAGCGAAAACATCTAGGAGAGGAAGACAGCTGGAAAGATCATAGTGGGAATGCTGCGAACTCCTGGCTGGGACAACTTAAAGCCCAACTGGTTTTGGTTAGGGAACTGTGTCTCAAATGGGTCTTAGGAGACACAAATGTGATGAGAAGCCAAAGCTCTGCGGTCTCCTGCAAAGGCTGCTGAAGCCGGGTAGCGAAGCAGGTGAGAACTGCCGACCTTCAGGCTTTGGAAGTGGTCCTGGCCGCCACAGCGCAGGGCTGGATCCAGGTTGTCCCATCTCTGCATCTCCAGCGGAACGGCGCGGCTTCCTTGACGCTGGTGCCCAGCTTTGCAAACACGCACACAGCTCTCAGACGGACGTGCCCAGGCCTTTGCGGCCTGTGATTTGAGTTTTCTGCCTCTCATATGAGAAGGGTTCGTCAACAGGTTTGCTCTCCACTCTACCTCTGTCACGTGTGAGTCCCATTCCTCACCAACCTGTCCTGCCCACACATCCAAACCTGGTACATGCCCTTTCCGAACTGGAACGGTTATCTCCTGCAGATGAGTGCAGGCAAGCAAGTGAAAAACCTCTGCGTAGCCTTACTCTGCTTTTGCCTTCTATTTTTTTTTCAGCAGAAATCCCTTTCTTCTCCTTGCTCAAAGCCACCAGAGATGCTCTGTGGCAAGAAGGCTCTCACCCTCCTCTCAGCCCACCAGCAGCCCCACGAGCTGTGTGTGTTCCCTCCTGACCCCGGACCGCGTCCGCTGGCAGCTGCTGGGGCTGCGGGAACACGCCGCTGCTCTCGAGCCAGCTGCCAGCCAGGTCTGGCAACGCTGCCGCGAAACAAAACCTTGGCTTGGAAAAGAGAGATTTTAGTCTGGGTGTAAGGCAAAGGGATTTCACCAAGCGTGGATAACTCCCAAGGAGGGATTTCTTGCCTGGCAGCAAGGCTACGGGGCGGCAGACGTAGTGGTGGGGGCTGATTCCTTCCTTCCCAGCTGCATCACCCGCTGCTTCTGACTCCCACCTCGTTTCTCGGACTCTCCACCTGCATGTCAGAAGCAAGCCAATTTTCTGTGACGGATTAAGTGCCTGGTGTGACAAATGTACTTAAAAGTCAGGCGGGGAGACTCCTCCACAACCTGTGAGAGGGTGTTTAATATTCTAACTGAGCGCCTGCTGGTGCGGGGGTGATGCAGACGATGCCGGCGCGGCTGGCTGTACACCCCGTGGGTCGCCAAGGACATCCCTGCTGCTCCACGGTCCCTCTGCTCTCTGTCGTGCACCGTCAGGGGCTGAAGGAGACATCGTGCGGTCACGGCACTGTGCAGCCATGCACAGCCCTTATGCGTCTCAGGAGCAATGTTGACAGTGTTGTTTTGTTTTAAATGGAATTAACGAAAACATCTGAGCTTCCCTTTGTGTGATACAAACCCTGCTGCAACCAAATTTTTAAATACCTCTCTGCGGGATGCCTCTCACTGTACCCACACTACTCTTCTCATACAGAACATCTACAAAGGAAACGGGGTGAGAGAGAAATTCTGGCACTGTTCGAAGCTCCTGACACAGCCTCTCCTCTTCCCATCAGCGCTGGCTTTCCTGCAATGGTTGCTGAGGTACTGGAGGACCAGCGGAGCGGTTCCCTGTATTGCAATGCTAAGCTTGGGTGTGCTGGATGGGCCCCACGCCTGCGTGTGAGCGGTGTCCGAGCGCGTCGGGCTGGAGCTGTTGCAATGCCTTACCCTCAGATGTCTGGAGGACCAGGGTCTTGCTGTACGGGCTGACTCCTGTTTTGTTGAAGGCTTTGACGCGGGCGCTGTACGTGCTGTTGAAGTGAAGCCCATCCACCGTGCACATGGTCTCCTTGCCCACGTACACCTCCTGCAAAGCAAGTGCAGTTAGTGACTGGAGCATGGACTCCCAGGAGAGGGAGAGCAGCTCCCCGTGGCCGTGACGCACAGCCACGCTCTGCTAGCTGGGGCAGACTTATGAGCACTGGATACGGCCAAAGCAGAGCAAAATCGCCCTATGATTTCTTCCTTAACAATTACTTTTCACTGCGTCCAGCTCTGGAGCCCCCAACATAGGAAAGACATGGACCTGTTGGAGCGGGGCCAGAGGAGGGCCACAGAGATGATCCGAGGGCTGGAGCCCCTCTGCTGGGAGGAGAGGCTGAGAGAGTTTGGGTTGTTCAGCCTGGAGAAGAGAAGGCTCCGAGGAGACCTTAGAGCCCCTTCCAGTCCCTAAAGGGGCTCCAGGAGAGCTGGGGAGGGACTTATTACAAGGGCATGTAGTGATAGGATGAGGGGGAATGGCTTTAAACTGGAAGAGGGGAGATTTAGATGAGGTATTAGGAAGAATTTTTTCACTCAAGGAGCACAATGTAGGTGTCCTAACAGACTGAGCTGAGACGCCAAGGTGGCCCTGATCTAGCTGGGCTCCAGCACTCACAGAGCTCTCCTGCAGGCGGCACCCTGTCAGAGAGCACAGCTCCCACCTCACCACCCCAGGCTCACTGCAAGGAACGCCTTTGTGGTTTGATGCTCAAAGGCATCCTCTTGCCTCAGGACACCGTCCCAGTCTCTCCTGCCTGTTTGTGTGGGAGGTACCTAACAGGCTGGGCCACACACTGACCTGCTCTCTGCAGGGACTGTCACCTGTATGACAGTCGGCACTCCCAGTTCACCGGGCAAATCACCGCCTGACACGGTCAGCTCGCTGCTTTTAGGCAGGAGAATGGCTCAGTGATTTCCCCTTCGTGGCACCAGCCATGTCCCATGGGCTGGAGCAGCCCTCTATAACCCCAGCAGCAGGAACACCACGCACATCCAAGCCCCTTCCCACTGCTGGTGGGATGAAAGAAGACTGGTGTGCCGGGGAATTGCCCTCACCTTGCCGGGGTGGCTGTGCTGAGCCTTGGTGTCCCCAAACTCAGCCTCCTGCTCCCTTCTCTCTCCAGATCCCACCCACGTCACCTCTCTCCTGCCTCAGCTCTGCCTGAGTTTCTTGTGGATGGATTCAGAAAATGCAATGGGCTGGTCCCTGCGCCTGCTCTCGGTGGATGTGAACACGCCAGGATAATTATCAGTGTGTCGGATCAGAGAAAAATCATATTTTAATTGTGTAATTACAGCAATTTAAAAGCCCTCAGGCCTTAAACACCTCTGCTTGCTGGCAGCTGGCAAACCGTGAGTCTTTCACGGCAATTAGCGTACCTTGCATGAAATATTTAGCAACCTAAAAAGATGGAGCTTCAAATGCGTTCTTGGCATTTGCAAGTCATTGGTCACCGGAAAGGTATTTCCACCTCCTCAAATAACCTGGCACCCCGAAAGAGCCTGCAGCTTGTCTGCAGCGTCTGCATCCCTGGGCACCTCAGCAGAGAGCCCCATGTTTCCAGGGAAGGAGGGGACTTGCAAAAAAGCCCGGGGAACATTTTGGTGGCTTCACGGCAGGGCAATACCGGAGTCAGGAGCACCACCTTGCCGCCAGGACTGGCTTCAGGCTCCGAGCACCTACCCTGAACTGGCCGCCGTTGCCGTCATCCAGCTCTAGGATGTAGCCTTCCACCTGCACCGTCGACAAGGGGGGCTGCTTCCAGGACAAGGTGGCACTGTTGTTGCGGGTGCAACACTCCTCTAGCTGCAGGATTGGGGGGGCCGGCACTGGGGAGGAAACTAAAGACAAATTAGTGTAACCCTGGCTGCTAGCACCACAGAGGAGGAGCAGGGGGAGAGCGGCGGCGTGCGCGTTGCAGCCGGAGCGCAGAGGATGCATTTACTGCCTCGGTGGGAAGCCAGCACAGCACAAGGGATGTAAGTGCGATCACGCGGGTGCGAGGTGGGGAGGAAGCAGAAAGGACCGCTCCCCAAAAAACAAGCTCCACCAAATTCCTCCACCTTGCAGCCTGGTGAAGCTGAGATTTCCCCGGAGCGACTGCACTTTCTTCCTGTTTTCTAATGCATTTTGGTGAAATATGGCAGTGCAACGATATCCCTGGTATCGAACCGCCTGGACTCTTCCCAGCAGCCTGTCCCAAAGCTGGGACACACTCCCCCACGCTCTGCAGAGCCGGCTGCAGCTCTGGGCCTGCCCTTATCTACAGCCCAGCGGCAAGCGCCGCTCTGCTTTGCCATCAAACAAATTCACTGCAACAAAACAAGCGATGCCGGAGCAGCAGGGATGAGCCTCGGGACATGCAGAACAGGGAGCGCCTCACCTTTTTGCCATGGTAAAGTCTGTTCTAGAAGGGGAAGCAACCGCACGAACTGCGAGACTTGGGGAAGAGATGAGTGTGTGTCTCAACGATGCTGTTTGAGTGCTGGGGAATGATAGCCCTTAACCTGCCCAAAAAGGCTCGGGGTCCTTTCCAGCACACAGCCCTTGCTGCTGAACACCTCCCGGGGAGGAACAAGCATGTTTCAGAGAGGTCTCCAAACTGGCACCAGACAGTCCCTGTCCTCAGCCTCCACATGCTGCAAGGCGGAAGGCTGTGCACCCTATAGCCTCCCATCTGCTGCCGAGGGGACATAAAGGACTGTCAGGACTTTTTCTGCTCCGACTGCTGTATTTGGGCATCTGCACGTATGTAGCGTAGCCCGCTCCTGCTCTAAAAAAAAATGGAGGGGCGACAGCGTGACAGGGAAATGGGATATCTGCTGACACACCCCATCCCCTGGCCAGGGACAGCCCTCCCAAACCCCCTCTTAAAAGAGCTGCTCATCCTCCATCCTCATCCTCACCGCCCAAAGTCTGACAAGACTCAGTGAAAAAAAGACATGGAGAAGCCAGACAAGATGTGGAGGAGCCACGGATGCCCAGGAGACAAAAGATGGACTCGCTGGCCATTCACCACCTCCTTCTGTGTCTCCTCCACCTCCCGGGTCAGATCCTCAGGAAGCACCAGGCTGAGGGCCTGGAGAAACTGAGTGGAGAAGGGCGTCACGTTACAGCAGAAGGGAGGCTGCTCGTGCCCAGCACGTGCTGGCAATGGATACAGGATGCCCTACACCTCTTGCTCACCTCTGCTCTTTATCTAAACCTCCGGTGTTGACCTGTCTCCCCCGGTGCTGAGACACGTGTTTGAGATCCAAACCCAACCTTCTGCAAAGTCCACAAAAGGCAACAACTTCACAGAATTCACAGAATTGTTAGGGTTGGAAGGGACCTCTGGAGATCATCTAGTCCAACCCTCAACTTAAGTCCAACTTACTTGCAGTGAGGGTGAGACGAGAGGAAAGCCTCCATCAGCTCTGCCCTGCCTCCACGGAGGAGGGCGGGCGGCTAAACTAGCAGCAGATTTGCTCTTATTAATTAAAAATAACCCTCTGGGCTAAATTGAAAGAAGGGAGGGCAGGAACACGCTAACGTCTCCACCACTGGTGTGTAAGCAAAACAGTAATCCAGCCCTCTTCTCGCTATCAAAAAAATGTTATTGACACTTCAAATTAACTGCCTGGCTAACGATGAGCAACTACGAGCGCTCCCAGCAGCCATGCCCAACGCACCCTTCTCACTGCAGCAAATGCCAGCGGGGACACTATTTGAAGATGCTCGTTAGCGTTACAGAGGAAGCGCGTGGTCATCAGCCTTCCGCTGTCTGACCGCTGAGAAACGCTGGTGTGTGCAAACGGCTCCCGCGTCAGGAAATCCATCCGTGAGGGCACTGAAGAGCCACGCCAGACCCGCAGCCGGGGGCCTCTCCTCCAGGCAGCTCATTCGCACCACCTGAAGGTACAGGGCTCCCTTCCATGTTCTCCTGAGCTTCCCTGCATCACAACCCATTTGCATCTCCCGTCAGCTTCCCAGGGCTCGCCAAGTCGCAAATTGCCCACAGGTTGCAGCGGCTCTCCGCTTCCTGCAGAGCCATGCAAACGCAGTGGCTCTCCGTGGTACGGGAGAGCGACCGTAGAGGGAACAGAGCTCGAGGAGGAAATTAAAATGGAAGGTCTAAAGCAAAAGGGAGGAGAGGGGAGGGGAGGGAGGACCCCGAGCTCAGTGCTGTGGCTCTTCGTGCCTTTGTGTTTGGAGGGACGCCGTGGCTGCCCGCAGCAGGTAGCTCGCGAGCTGGCCCGTGCCAGATGCTGCTCAGCACTAAGCAAGCGAGCGTGTGTGAGCAGAGGTTTGGGAAGTGCCTTATGTTGCTCCTGAGACCCCGGTCCCAACCTGCAGAGCGTTTTCTAACGCGCTGCCAGGCAAAACCAAGCTCCCAGCACCTTGATCTGGCACACAGCTGCCCAGCGATGCGAGACAGGGAAGCAGATGGTTGGACCAGGGTTGCAAAATACACAGGAACGGGCATAACTCTGGGATTGGGGTGCCCAATCGTGCTGGGAGAAGATGAGAAACTCTCCTCTCCTGCCCCTTCCCTTTGATGACTTACATGGAAGCACCCAGCATGAGCAGAGACGGGTTTTTGAAAGGCACTGGAAATATTCTTACCTTTCATCTGCACGAAGTCGAGCTGATGGATGGACTGTAGCAGAGGGGCGTTGTCAAGGTTCAGGTCGAAGTCCGTGGTCATCCGGGGTGTGAGCGTCCCCTTTCCCCACTGGTCTTCAGTCAAGTGCACTCTCCTGATGAGAGCGTCGGAGATCTGGTGGCGAGGAGCAGCCTCAGCTACCGAGGGCCACCTGTGTGCTCTACCTTGTCCCTACCCTGCTCTCCTCCTTCCCTGCGCCTCCCAGGCTGCCACTTCTGTCCCTGACTGCCAAAGGCTGGGACATCACACGTGGTTTCTACCATCGCCCTTTGCCGCAGGCTTAGATTGGCAGAGGGACCCCAGGAGCTCTGGGGACTACTTTAAAGGCAGGGTCCAGTACCAAAAGAACCAGCCCAGCAACGAATGGTGGGATGCAGTTCTCAAGTGCTGTATGTCCGTCTCTCACTGGAGAGCCACGAGACACCACGTTATGATCACTGCTCCAGAGATAAACCACCGTCTGCTGCAACCCTCTGGTCAGAGTAAGAAATGTCCCTGTGTTCTGTCCTGCTGCGAACCTGGAGGTGATGAGAGGTTGGCCCTCGATTTTTGGAAAAGCTGGGGACAACATCCTTGGGGGAACTCCCCCAAATCTGCCACGTTACCCCAGGGCCCTGGGCTGTGCAATGCCTTTCCCGCTCCCCTCGCAGCCCCACCGTGAGCAGCTCCCCACCAACCTGCAGGAAGCCGCTGGGGTCGTTCTCCTTGATGACCTCCAGGCAGTACTCCATCAGGCCCGTGGTCTGGCGTAGTTTGACCGTGCAGTGAGAAATCTGGTCTCGCACCACCTGTGATGGGACAAGGAGAGCAGCTTTGCTTGGAGCTGTGGGGTTTTGGGAGACGGGGAGCAAACGGGCTTTGGCATCGTGTGGGCACAGGGAGAGGGTCAGGGCAACGCGAAGGGAGACAAAGACTCAAGGGAGGAGAAAAAGGCAGAACCGGCCAAGACTCATCCACTGAATCCCACATCCTTGAAAACCTGGCGAACAACAACAAGCTCTGTTTAGCTCCAAATTATTAACCCACGTAATTATTCAAAGCAGCAGGGCAGTTCCTTGCTCTGTCTTTAATTTGGACAGCTTCCAAACGACAGCTTACGAACCCCACGCAAAAGCAAATGCCTCCCTCCACAGATACACAGCTGCGGCCGCAGCCTGCGTGGGGCTGCCCCATCCATCCTCGCCGTCAGGCTGCGGGGTTGGCTGCGGGGCAGCTGCACCCAAAGGCCCCAGGTGAGGAGCGAGCCTGATATTTTGGTTATTTCCGAAAGGAATGAACGCATCACCTCGCCCAGCTTCAGCTCTGATTTATGATCTGTTTGAGATCATACCCTCCTCACTTGCAAGGAGACTGGGGTAGGGCCAGGGAGAAGGAGGTGGCTCAGCCCTGCGGGTGTGACGCAAAGCTCCGCAGGACACTCTTCCCTGGTTGGCCATTATCTACACCACGTAAAGGTGGAGCAGGCAGCTATGGAGAAGAGCTCCCTTCATTTTGAGGGGCTGCTGTTACGCGGTTTACGTTCTAGATTATTCTGGCCCATCCCTGGAGGAGTTTAAAAAAAGGGTAGATGTGGTACTTGGGGACATGGTTTAGAAGTGGTTTTGTCAGGTTAGTTGGTTAATGGTTGGACTTGATGATCTTAAAGGTCCCTTCCAACCTCAACAATCCTATGATTCTACAATTCTATGAGATGCTCATCTGCCCATCAGCTGAGATGAACCACGCTGCAGAATTGCCTCATTTTCTCCACTGGCTGCAGCGGGAGTCAGGGAATGAGCTCAGAGGGAGAGGTGTGCCGGTGAGAGGGGATAAATCCTGCACCTCTCACGGCAGGGCTCCCTACAGCACACCAAGCTCTGCCTGGGGCTGCCCCAGCTGCACGCTAAAGCACGTCTTCTTCCACCCAGGGATGGTTTCCCCAAGGCAATGTGCTTCAGCATCCCAGCAGTGGAGTACAAGCAAGCGCGTGGTTTGGCCCGTGCCCCTGGGCTCTGCTGACCTTCCCTGAAACACAGCGGGGAGGACGGGGTTCAGGCTCTGGTATCGCGAGGGTGCGTTTAACGCTGGCTGGTCCCTCACGCCGAATCCCCGCAGAAGGAGACTGCAGGGCTGCACCCGGTGTCAGCGAGAATTCTGTCATGGGAGATTGGCAGAGCAGCTCAGGAAGAGAGATTTATGCTTTAGAAGAACGTGCCCGTGGCAGATAATTTATTTTTTTTAATTCTGGAAGAGCTTTAAAGCTGTGTGAAGTTCTCCACAAGGACTGAACAAAGCTATGCAGTTCTAGAGACTGCAGCTATTTAGGATGTTATGGACAGTAGAGACGAACTTCCCATCAGCATCTGCAGCTGCAGTGTGATGGAAAAGGCTGCAATAAGAAGCGATTAACATTTCTGAAGGCACAGTTGTGTCCTCAGCACCGCAGCTGGTGAATCCCAGTGCCTGTGTGCCCACCGGTCCATAGGCACAGCAGTAATCAAATGACCACCGTGGGCTGAGGAGCACCTCCTGCTGTGAGCATCCCTATGGCCCGAGGGATGGGGAGGTGAAACGAAGCACATGTCAGCCTCCTGCAGCAAATGAACCTGGGTTTCAAGGGGGGTGATGACTCCTGCAGGGCAATCAATCACATCATGTGTTGCTTAATTATAATTTAATCACCTCTACTTAATCACCTAACAGGAAGAAAAGACTCACCGGTCCTCCAACTTGGGACAATATATCTGCTTCCACAGTATATTGTGGGATTGAGGGCACAATCAGCAAATTTGCTGATGACACCGAGCTGTGTGGCACAGCTGACACGCTGGAGGGAAGGGATGCCATGCAGAGGGACCTGGACAGGCTGGAGAGGTGGGCCTGTGCGAACATCATGAAGTTCAACCAGGCCAAGTGCAAGGCCCTGCACCCAGGTCGGGGCAATCCCAAGCAGAAATCCAGGCTGGGTGGAGAATGGCTGGAGAGGAGCCCTGAGGAGAAGGACTTGGGGGTGGTGGTGGGTGAGAAGCTCAACCTGACATGGCAATGTGCGCTGGCAGCCCAGAAAGCCACCGATATCCTGAGCTGCACCCCCAGCAGCGTGGCCAGCAGGGCGAGGGGGGATTGTGCCCCTCTGCTGCGCTCTGCTCTGGGGAGACCCCCCTGCAGTGCTGCCTCCAGCTCGGGGGGTCCCACCAGCAGAGGTGTTGAGCCTGGAGAAGAGAAGGCTTCGGGTAGACCTTAGAGCCCCTTCCAGTGCCTAAAGGGGCTCCAGGAGAGCTGGGGAGGGACTCTGGATCAGGGAGGGGAGTGACGGGATGAGGGGGAACGGTTTTAAACTGGAAGAGGGTAGGAAGAAATTCTGTCGTGTGAGGGTGATGAGACACTGGCCCAGGTTGAAGCTGTGGCTTCAGAGAAGCTGTGGCTGCCCCATCCCTGGAGGTGTCCAAGGCCAGGTTGGACGGGGCTTGGAGCAACCTGGGCTGGTGGGAGGTGTCCCTGCCCAGGGCAGGGGGGTGGAACCAGATGATCTTTAAGGTCCCTTCCAACCCACACCATTCTGTGATTCTATGAAATGCTACAAAGCACTCTCCTAGCTGGCTCCCGACTTTTAGGTGGCAACCGTTCCTCCATGCTGCTTTTAGCAATCCCAGCCCCAGTTTCCAGCCCGTGGCAGAGGGCGGCTGGAGCAAGCCCGGGTGCTGGGGAGGGGGCTGCAGCCAGCGCACCCCCTGTGCAGAGCGGACAAGGCAGCAGAGGGAGCTCCGAGAGCTCTCTGGCCCAAGACGTGTGCACAGAAGCTTGCAGAGATGCCGGATTGCTCTGAGACGGGGCTAGCGAGCAGCATGATCGGCACACACCGGTTTTGGCCTCAAACGCTGTCAACAGAGGGAAGACTTCATTCAGTGCCAGTTTCTAACACTTGAGTGCACTGGAATGGCTCTGCAGGGATGCGGTAGAGGCACCAGCTAGTCCTGGAGATCCGGACTCCTACACTGACCTTTTCTGAAAGCGTGGGCAAGCCCCTGGACTTCCTTTCTCCGTGGGGATGGTGGGTCCTTCAGGGCGGGATCCAGAAGGTGCAGATGGAGTGCAAAGCCTTGCAGCAACCTGCAGCCCCTGCCACGCCACAAAAAACAGCTGCTTGCGTTAATTTGATCTCTTTTGCCCAGACAACGGGTGCCGAGGGGTTGTTCTGCTCTTGCGAGGGTTGTTGTGGATGTCGGGTCTCTCACTTGCAAATCACGGTGTTACCACTGAGTGTGAGACAAGCCCAGCCTGCGGGCTCCAACCTTGCTGTTAGAGGATATCGTGACCGCACTGACCAAGCCAGGGCCGGGTTTTGCATTCCCTGCCTGCTGGGCTGCAGATGGGCAAGTGGGGATCCCACCCTGATCGCCCAGAAAATGCACATGCCATCGGGAAGACGGCAAAGATGGGATTGGTAAAACAATCTTCTTATCTTCTTTGCAGCTTAAATCTCTGTCTGGTTTGCCCAGGATAATGAATTTGTGAGCTCCTCCCTGCCCGAGTAGATGTTTTCGAAGTATTATCAGCAGAATTGCCATCTGGTACCGCCAGCCAGACGTGAGCCTCCAAGAAACAGCATTTCGTTGAGTGAGGACAGGCACGGTGTCCCCGGACAGCCCTGGTCACGCAGCTGGCTGCCCGGCTTGGCCAAGAGATGGGGTTACTGGTGAGGCGAGGGGACCCGTCACCGCTGCTCCGGTGTCAGCGTGAGATCTGCGGGGCTTCCTGGCACTGTCTGGGAGGAGGGAGCTGGGACACGGAGATGCCAGCTCCAGGCTGATTAATTACTGAGCTTCCTGGCAGATTATCCCTGCTAATAAAGGTCTGGTGGGGAGTGGAAGTGCTTGCTGCGGGCTGCCACTGAGGCTACGTAAATCTTTACGGCTGTGGGTACAAGAAATTCCATTTAAAAATAAGTAAAAGCTTTTTTTTTTTTTTTTTTTTTTTTTTTCCCTGTAAAAGTGGTCAAAGACCAGAACAGAGAGACTGTGGAGTCTCCGGCCTTGGAGATATTCAAACCCCGACCGGAGGCACCCCCGGGCAGCCTGCTCTAGGTGCTCAGAAACCACACCTGAAGCAGCGGCTGCAGCTCTGTCCCACCTTTAGCGCCAGCGATCCTGCTCTTCTGTAACCCTGCGATCCCCTTTGGGGACCAAAAACCCATTCATCTGGAGAACTAGAGCATGAAACGGCAGTTTAACTGCAGCATCTCCACAGCAGGCAAGCTGATAGCGGAAATCCATGTTCCCTTCACCACCAACAAATGGTTTTCAAGGGAAGAAGAGGGATATTTGGCTGGGACCTGGTGGGGCTTCGTGCCCTTTACAGCTTCTGCGCTCCACACAAGAGAAATGGGACACAGACAGGAACAGAGAGACTCCACGAATTGCTTTGATTGGGGAAATGAAAGGTTTTAAAAATAAGACATAAGCACCCCCCGCACCTTCGAAGGCACAGTCTAAACCCAGCGGGGCCAGTGAAACCGAAAGGTTTTCCACGTGGCCTTAAGCATCCTGTGGTTCTCATGCATCAGGGATTTCCAATCCCTGGGGTACCTCAGCTCCCTGTTACCCCAGTAATGAAGAGTATTTCGATGAAGAGAGCTGAAAGCGAAATCTGGAAGTTCCTCAAGCCTTTGACTCACGGAATCAAAGGAGGCTGTGCAGGGCTGAGGGGCCTCAAAGGGTTTGAAGGATTCACCAGTTCGCCAGGACAACCAAGCTGCCTTGAATTCGGCATGCAGGTAGACACTTTACAAACCTCTCCTGAAACCACATGG